CACTACATTGACAGCGTCAGAAACGGAGAAACGATACACTTATTGTTTCACTACATTGACAGCGTCAGAAACGGAGAAACGATACACGTATTGTTTCACTAGATTGACAGCGTCAGAAACGGAGAAACGATACACGTATTGTTTCACTACATTGACAGCGTCAGGGACGAAGAAACGATACACGTATTGTTTCACTACATTGACAATGTCAGGGACGGAGAAACGATACACGTATTGTTTCACTACATTGACAGCGTCAGGGACGGAGAAACGATACACGTATTGTTTCACTACATTGACAATGTCAGGGACGGAGAAACGATACACGTATTGTTTCACTACATTGACAAATTAAACAATTACTTAAAAAGGCACGACTTTTGTAGTGAAACAATACATGTATCGTTTCTCCGTCCCTGACGCTGTCAATGTAGTGAAACAATACGTGTATCGTTTCTCCGTCCCTGACATTGTCAATGTAGTGAAACAATACGTGTATCGTTTCTCCGTCCCTGACATTGTTAATCTAGTGAAACAATACGTGTATCGTTTCTCCGTCCCTGACATTGTCAATGTAGTGAAACAATACGTGTATCGTTTCTCCGTCCCTGACGCTTAATATACGACGCAATATTAATTAGGTTTTACATGAGAGTATTATGTTAAAAACATTTATTCTATTCTTGAAAAAAAATATGGGGAATACGTTCCCCCGCGTCCCTCGTGAAAATTACGCCTAAACATGATGTCCTTTATAACGCTTTATAATGCAATATTGTAAATCAAAATTTGCTTGATTTGGTTATGTCTTGTAAAAATGACCTTGAACTCTATCTTTCCTGCAGGTCAAATACACTGGGTTCAGGGATATGAAAACAGAAGAACGACAGCTAAGATTTATTGAAGGATGCAGAGAAGGTCACACAGAAGTGGTAACAAAGTTTTTATTTTTTTATAACTCGTGTTATTTCGCTAAAATAATATAGGTCGTAGAAATTAACGTCGACGAGGAATACATATCTAGGGTTTTGAGGATATATGAGCGTCCACAGTTACACGCAGTCGGTGGCGTAAGTTTAACTTCAAAAGTGGCGCAAAGTTTCTTTAGTGAGGTTTAGCATGAGAGTATTATTTATTCTTTCCTTGAAAAAAAAAAAAACATGTGGGGAATACGTCCCCCCATGTCCCTTGTGAAAATTACGCCTGTACATGCTGTCCTTTATAACGCTATAAATAAATTAATATACGACGCAATATTAATTTGGTTTTACATGAGAGTATTATGTTAAAAACATTTATTCTATCCTAGAAAAAAAAATATGGGGAATACGTCCCCCCGCGTCCCTCGTGAAAATTACGCCTATATATGCTGTCCTTTATAACGCTATAAATAAAGTAGTCTTTTTTTCGCGAAGAGATCGTGAATCATACGAATAAGTTTTGATAAAATTTCAGGGTGTAATTTTGTTTTCTTACCTCACTTTCTTGCTGCAATTTTCGGAGTAGATCGTCCGATTCGAACCTCGTCTTCTGATCAGCAACAACACGTGGCACCTTCCAAACGCAGTTCGACAGCTGATCGCACATGACCGGGGCTTCGAAGGGAAGCATATTCATCGAGCACTTATCCGTTCGTTTGGACGTCGTGTATATATTCTGCTCCTAGCAGGAACTGACCTACGAAACTTCAGTCAACGTCAAGTGCGCTGTCATTGGTTGAAATGGATAGCGATCTTGGTTGCTCAGCGAACCCAAACTTGGGAAGGGGCTGGTTTCTAGATTGATCAAGAGTGACGTCTTCTATGTATGCGTGTGTGCTCGTGTGTTATATAACAATATTAAGTACAAATTTAAATCAGATTTGGATTAGCAGTATTATATTACAATGATATATATATATATAACTTAAATTAACGAGTCCTCCTACCAAGTTCGAGGGATTTTAAAGCAAAGTATTTCATTCAAAAAAACTTTTAAAAAAATAGTGTATTTTTCATAGAATAATACACGAACAGTAACCATTTCTCCAATTCTGATAAGGCCGTAGAGACAATACCAGTTCCTCGTAAGTCCGTACGATCGAATGGTGTTTTCATTATAAGGTAAGGGGTGAAGTTCAGAACGACAATCTCTCCCGCGCACGGTTTATCATCACGAGCTGGAAAAGTTTTTCCAGGAACACGAACTTTTACTTCGACTGATAATCAGTGGCGTAACAGCTAAAAACTGAAGCTGTCCGCGTTTTCTGTTATCTTTAGGGGGTGCCGGTATTGGGTTAATCGAGGCTTACGTATACTTAATAAACACGATGAGATGTTAGGAATAACCTGAAACACAAATAACCTGAAATCTAACCAACTGCGCGGGTGAAAACTGACTAGTGCGTAAACTCAATCCGTTAATTTATATATATATATTTATCTGATGTTGGATTGATTGTTTAGTTGTCGGGTTAAGCGCTAAGTTGCTCAATGGGCTATCTGTGCTCTGCCCACAGAGGGTTTCGAAACCTAAATTTTAGCGTTATAAGCCCTTAAGAGTTGCCGCTGAGCCACTAGGAGACAGCTAATCAGTAATTAAAAATAAAAAAATAATAATCATTATTTATTGTGACTGATTTTTAACTTTTTAACTACCGGATCACTGGATAGGGTTGAAGGACTTTACTCGATATTCACCGAATGATCTTTAACCTTTTAACTACCAAGTCAGTCTTCAGATGATCTTTAACTTTTGAACTGAGAGAACAATCCTTGGGGAATTTGACTTGTTCTTTTCAAGATGATCTTCAGTCCTAACTGTCAACTCTTTAACTGATAGATGATTTTTTTGTATTTTAACTAACAAATCAGACATTACAGGATGTTACCCGTTACATAACAGATTAACTCTTTAACCGACAGATGATTTTTTTGTATTTTAACTGCCAAATCAGACATTAAAGGATGTTACTCGTTACATAACAGATTAACTTTTTAACTGACAGATGATCTTTTGTATTTTAACTGCCAAATCAGACATTAAAGGATGTTACTTGTTACTTCTCAGATTAACTCTTTAACTGACACATGATTTTTTTGTATTTTAACTAACAAATCCGATATTAAAGGATGATACTTGTTTTTTACCAGATTAACTCTTTTAACTGACAAATGATCTTTTGTATTTTAACTGCCAAATTAGTCATTAGAAAATATTACTTGTTACTTATCAGATTAACTCTTTTAACTGACAATGATCTTTTGTATTTTAACTGCCAAATCAGTCATTAGAAAATATTACTTGTTACTCACCAGATAAATTCTTTTAACTGACAAATGATCTTTTGTATTTTAACTGCCAAATCAGTCATTAGAAAATATTACTTGTTACTCACCAGATAAACTCTTTTAACTGACAAATGATCTTTTGTATTTTAACTGCCAAATCAGTCATTAGAAAATATTACTTGTTACTCACCAGATAAACTCTTTTAACTGACAAACGATCTTTTGTATTTTAACTGCCAAATCAGTCATTAGAAAATATTACTTGTTACTCACCAGATAAACTCTTTAACTGGCGGGTCATTACTTGGAGGATTTTACTAATCAATCTCAATATTTTTAATCTTTTAATTACCATAACAGTCCTTAGATGAGTTTATTCGTTATTCACCAGATAATCTTAAACCTTATAACTTCAAGATAGACAGACACTCGGTTAATTACAAAGTGGTACTTAACTTGTTATAACCATTCTTTGAAAGGTATCACTGGTTAATCGCCAGATGATCTTTAATTTTCTTAATAACCTTTTAAAGTGCTGTATCGGAGGATTATATCGTTAATTGCTAGATGAATTACCAGTTCAATTTTCCGAGGATTTTAACTGTTAAGCTTCAACTGCTATTAAGCCTTTTACTTTGGTTTGGTTTTGGTTGTTGTTAAGCACAAAGTTACACAATGGGCTGTCTATGCTCTGCCCACCACGGGTATCGAAATCCGACTTTTAGCGTCGTAAGCCATCAGACTTACCGCTAAGCCTTTTACTTAACAGTTTTAAGGAAATGTTACTTTCTAGTCACTTTACAATTTTGCTCGCCCGTGGGGTAACATTTATACCAGGGATCAGTTGCCAAGTGCTTCTACTGTTTGATGACGAACGCTCCTCTTTCATGTTCAGGTCAAAATCGTGATTTGAGATGTGTTTTAAATGTACATTTTTGATTAGTTTGAGTCTCGCACTGAGACCTATCTCAAATGGAGCCAGGCTGATGAGGTTTACAACAATATAAGTTGTCTTCAAAATCAGTTCTTCATTATGCATGAATTATATCTTAATGATGACTACCACTCCCCTTCCGATGGGTCAACATTAAGCTAGAGGTTTTACACCGCTAAACGTTTGTGTTCGATCCATGCGGTAGGCGCAGCGCAGATAGCCCATTGTGCAGCTTTGCGTTTAAACAAAACAAAATCTTGAGAAAATATTTCTGTAAAGTCAGTTCCTCATTTATGAATGAATTACTCGCTAAGATGATATTCGGACAGTAGTTTCCTGACTTTCAGAAAAATAAAAATAAAAATAAAATCTGAATGCTCTGAGGTACACATTTTTAGGCAATTTGGACCAGGAAACACAAATAAGTTTTATATTGTTTGTATTTTTTAAAAATAGACATTTTTAACGGTAATTATACCCGGAAATATAAAACATGTATATTTATATATATATAATTTTTTTATTTTAAAATTAGACATTTTTGAAAGGTATTTGAATTGAACTCTAGCTGGCCCCTTTGGGGTTCTAAAACTTGTCAATAAAAACACCTACTGCGTTGCGTTACGAGTATAGGAAAGTGTTGATTTAAGTGTGTAGGACTAAATAGCATAAGATGTTGTGCTTCGTAGTGTCAGCTGTGAACCCCCCCCCCCAGTGGTACAGCGGTATGTCTGCGGACTTACAACGCTAGAAACCGGGTTTCGATACCTGTGGTGGGCAGAGCACAGATAGCCCATTGTTTAGCTTTGTGCATAACTACAAACAATAACCTGTGAAAAAACATTTAGAACAAAAGAAAATACACAATATATTAATCTAGAGTTGGCGGTGAGTGGTTTTAAATAGTTGCCTTCCCCTAATCTATCACTTCAAAATTAGGGACGCTAGTGCAAATAGCCCTCGAGTAACTTTGAGCGAAATTCAACAAATACAACCGTGTTTAATAGTTATATAT